TTCGTTCTGCAGGTGTGTTTGCCGTTGATGAAGTGTCAGTGTCATTGATGGTGAGAGATTCTGTCACTCTACACACTGATGTCACAGAAATACAGAGAAATGAGAAGGTGCTGTGGAATATTCAAGGTGAAAACAAATTCTTAGCCGTAATTAACAAAGAAGACAATGAAATCTCAGTACCTGGAAATAATGATGAGAGATTCAAAGGCAGATTGGAGCTGGATCATCAGACTGGATCTCTGACCATCACAGACACCAGAACCACAGACTCTAGAGTTTATGAACTACAGATCAGCAGCAGCAGTGACATCAAACACAAGAGATTCAGTGTTGCTGTCCACGGTGAGTAACTTGGTGTGATCATTATCTGTCTGGAGATGTTCTGGAAAAATCACATTGTTGACTTTTTATGAATAATCATTATTTACTATATGAAATCTTTTCTAAGCAAATATTTTCTTCAAACAATGAAAAAACACAAAGTCATATGATGTCTTGCATTACATTTCTTGATTGGCTGATATTTGGATGACTGATTCTGAACTCATTTATTCCCATAGAAATTTGAATCTGTATTTGAATAGCTGAATCTGAAATCCATTTACAGTTTTAATTTATGTTTTAAGGGGTACAGGAACTACAAATGAGAAACGGGTATACAAATACAGATTCAGTGGTAGTTTAACTTGAATTCTTAAAGCGAGACAAGATCTGACGATACCGTTCTCCAGCATGATCCAAATAGCATCTTGAGCTTCAGTGACCATCTGAACAAAGAGTCATGATGATTTGATAAGGGATCTTAAAAATAGTGCAGAATATAAAAGATTTCTCATTCATTTTTCAACTTTTAGTGTTTTACTTTTTTTAAAAACACTTTCTTTACTATACATGTATATTTAAAAGAGTGTTTTGTGAAAATTACATTAAGGGCATTATAAGATTAATCTTCATTTTAAGCGGGTTCTGTTTGTTCTCATGTATTTGTTGCTGTGACAGATGATGTGCAGTCAGTATCAGTGATGGAGGGAGATTCTGTCACTCTACACACTGGTGTTACTGAAGTAAAGGGAGATGATAAGATACAGTGGAAGTTCGGAGATCAAGGCACCATCGTTGCTGACTTAACCTGTTAACAGTCGCCCCCACTATTTGAGCTCAAACCCAAACCTGACCTACACAAACTAAAACAGTCACAGTTCATCAACCCTCTGGACTACAGACATAACTGAGGGCTCTTTAGAAAGATGATAGTTAAGAGTGTGTCATTCAAGTATAAGAACCTGTTATGTCAATATTGACAAGAAGTGATAAATACCTAAATATTTTTGAAAGTAATGATCAATTAATTTATATAAAAGATATATAAGAAAAAAATATATGCAACTGTGCCAGAGCTACTCACAAAGCAATGAAATCAACACTACGGATCAAGTCAAATTAAAACCTGAATATGGAGCCTCTAAAAGTAAGCTTTTCTCATTAAAGAATGTAAAAATTAAATAGGACATTTAGAGACGTACCTCTGAGACTCTGAGATAAAATGAGAATTAGTAATCAATATGAGTTGTAACACAATATTAAATAATTTACAACTAATCACAATGGTTGAATTTGTAATTTGTAAACACTTAAATTTACACTTTGTCTAAATTTGTCATACTTTGAAGGCACAATGGCACATATCAAGTTACAAACATGACTGGAGATTTATGGTGGCGAAGTTTTATTTCATCATTCCTGATTTTCTATTGTCAGTTAATGCTTATCAGTCTGATCCAAATTTTTAAATCTGTGTTTCGAAACTGGTATATTTTATTACCCACTCTTCACACATTCACACTTTTCCACAACAAATGATATACAGCAGATTGCCTCACACTGTTATCTCTGTCTCTGCTGCTCACATTTAAATGTCTCCACTGCTCGCATCTCTTTACTCTATCTCATATTCTACAATATACTGGTAATCAACATGCACTGCCTTTAGTCGGCAGACATTTACACCTGTTACCTGTAGTTCATAGAGCATTCTTCCTCAAGTGATGATTTTTTGTCTGCAGTCTGCATACAGATATATCTTTGCCGCTGTATCAAACTTAATGTATAGAAGACACAGGCCATATGTGCTAAACAATAATGGTTATGGCAGAAAATACATTTTGCTTGCTGATAGCAGGTGTATATAAGACATGTAGCATAGCATTCGTATAGCACATTTCACACTTGTTTTAAATAACGTCTTAACTATTTAGGGCACTGTTTAAGCAATAAACAGCATTCAGGTCTGGTTCCAATCTAGTACTATGGATAACACTCACTTTGCACTAGGATCAATTCCTCATGTATAAAATCAAAGTTTTGCCTAGTCACTTCACTTAGTAGGCCTAATTAAATTAGCAAAATAGAATGTGAAAGCTGTTTCGTACTGACTTAAAAATTACGAGGTGTAATGTGTGTATTTGATGATCAACTATATAATGGTGTTAAACCTCATAACCCAGTTTAATATGCACACACGCATAAATTATCTATTTGTAGACTGATTTCCAAAACATGCAAGACTGACAAATTAAAACTTTGATCTGTTTTAATCCTTTTAAAGATTTTTGATCTTTCTTTGAACATTGCAACCTGACTGACTTGGCAACATTGGCTTAACCAATGGGGTGAGTTTTTGGCTGGAGTACCAGTTGGGGAAGACCAAGAGGGCAAGACAGGTAGTGGCAGACAGGGAAAGTGTTCAGGGAACCTGTCTGAACACCCTCATTATTTTCGCAGTTCCGAAATTACACAACGCACCTTTGCTAAGGATACAATCATCAAGATTCCTGTAGTACAAACGTTCATGCTTGAAAACATACAAAAAATGTTTGATTGTGCGTTAGAAATAATCCCTATAATCTCTGTAAGCCTCTATTTGTTTGCTGCATCTTTCATCAATATATTTTTTAGCTTTACACTGACTGACTGTGTGCAGTAAAGACTATAGTTTGAGCATATGTGTGCGTCACAACAGCCTGTGGCGCTGTTGGAATGTTTTGAATCACTGGCCAATCAGCGCTGCACAGAGATCGCGGGGAGCAGGGTTATACTGTTCGTAACACTTCAACTAACATGTTAATACGCGTTTTACTACCGAAAATCACCTCGGAGCTACTTATTTTTCTGGAAAATTGTTAATAATTATAATGATCTCTGACTAAATTATATGCCAACCAAGCAGAATTAAGTGATATTTCTCTTTAATTACCACTGTTCGACCAAAAAAATTAATTAATTTTGTAATCTGGGTTATTGCCATGGAAACTAACACGATATCTTCATGACTGAATGTCTCAGTCATCCACACTGCACAAAAACAGTTCAGAAGTTACCGGTTCAATGCTGCATGTTAGGATGTAGAATCCTGATAGGGATCAAAAGTGTGTGGTCGCTTTAATATTACGATGGCAAATATCGAAGGTTGAGACTTTAAACTTTCAAACGACATATTGTTAGTCAAAATTAATTAAAGCTTTATTGCTAAAAGTATACAGTGAATGTAAACTAACACACCTTGGAACCGGCGATGGTCCTAAGCAAGTTAACGGATTAAACAGTATCACTGATGCGAGATGGAGACACATATTTTATCTGAGTGATACAACTGGAGACCTCACCATCAGAAACTTTAACACCGAACACACTGGAGATTACAAAATGGAGATGGAGAACCGAAGTATGATTTTACGCAGGATATTCCGTATTGCTTTTAGTGGTGAGTGGATCACATTTTTTATGAGATTCAGTTATAATCATCATATTAATATCAGTAGGCTACGCGGTGAACCGTTTAGATGCTCAAATTAACAAGTTTACACTAAAATAAAAACATTTAATATAAAAAATACAGTCTGCTGCAGGCAGTAGCCTATTTCAGTTAGTAGGATAAATAAAGTTTCTCAGCGTTTCTTATTCATCTAAGACAGGTTTGAACCTGATGTTTGAAACTAACATATAAATCCAGTGCCAAGAGAAAAGGTTTCAGAACCTCAGAGTAGCCATGTATTTGTTTTGGGTAAAAAAATAAATAAAATAATTATATATATATATATATATATA